GACATTATGTTTCCATCCGTCCAACGACGCCAGGTTGCACCTCAGACTGGCCAGGATCTTAGTGATGCGCTGGTTCAGATCTGGGAGGAGATACCCCAGGATGCCATCCGTCGTCTCATTAGAAGCATGCCCCGACGTTGTCAGGCATGCATACACGCACGTGTGGGCCATACAAATGACTGAATACCATTTTGAGTTGCTGCAATGAAATTTCAGCAAAATGGACTAGCCGCATCATTTTCACTGTAATTTTTGGGGTGTCTTTGAATTCAGCCCTCTGTAGGTTAATAATTTTCATGTCCATCAAATGATGTGGCATCCTTTGGTTCCTAACACATCACCCAGTCCATATCCACCCAGTCTGAGGTGCTACTGACATTTTCACCAGATGTCGGTAACAATCCATGCAATCTACACCTCCATAGAAATCAAACCATAGAAGTGCAGGAATTAAGTTATGTGGAATAAAGTGGAATGGCCCTGAGGAAAAGTGAACTGAAATCTGTTTAATACTTTGTAGAAAAGCCTTTGTTGGCAATGAAAGCTTCCAGACGTGTCCTGGATAGAGAATTGAGTGGCATGCATTGATCAGGTGGGATTTTGGCCCATTCCTCCACAAACAGCCTTTAAATCTTGAAGGTTTGGTGATCATCTTCCATGAACTCTGACCTTTAGATCTTTCCATAGATTTTCTATTGGATTCCAGTCAGCTGATTGGCAGAGCCATTCTAGCAGCTTTATTTCTTTCTGTGAAACCAGTGGAGAGTTTCCTTGGCTGCGTGTTTAGGCTCATCGTCTCACTGAAATGTCCACCATCTTCTTCATCCTGGTAGATGGCAGCAGATTTTTATCCAGAACATCTCTCTACATTTTTCCATTCATTCTTCCTTCAATGATTTGAACTTTTACAAAACCATACACTGAAAACAGCCCCACACCATGATGCTCCTACCTCCAAACGTCACTGTTGCTATGGTGTTTATGGGCTGAGGTGCAGTGCCCTTTGACCTCCAAACATGATGTGTATTATGGGATCCAAAGAGTTCAGTCTTGGTCTAATCTGAGCAGACTATATTCTCCCAGTATTTCACAGGCTGGTCTAAATGTTGTTCAGCAAACTTTAAACGACCTTCAACAGCTTTTCCTTCAGCAGTGGAGTCCGGCGTGGTGAGCGTGCTACAGGCCATGGCGGCTGACTGCATTACTGACTGTTTTCTTTGAAACGATTGTTCCTGCTGATTCCAGCACCTGGCCCTGGTCGGTTTATGGTGGAATGATGTTCTTTTCATTGCTGGATTATGACTCTAACATGCTGGGGAAGATTCTCAGTCATCCAGGTCATAGTCATTCCAACAAGGTTAAAAAGTTAAAAACAATCAACTGGACTTTGTTTCCAAGTTTGAAGACGTTTCTCTTCCCATCCAGGAAGCTTTTTCAATTCCAAATGTCTGGATAAGCGTTGAGTTCCATGTTTTATAGAGTGGACTAAACAAAGAATGTTATGGCTTAGAAAACATGAACATTGAACCAGAAACCTACAACCAGCAATAGAGTTGATTCCTTCCCCCATCATCTCAGACCTGATCTCCATGCAGGGAACCAAAACATCTCGCCAGGCCAACAATGACCCTAACGACCTCCCTTTCAGAGGCATAGGCCAGTATCAGGTTTTGCAGGCCAACGACGCCAACGGCCCCAATTACTAAATGTTGGAGCCGTTTTTTTGGTTCAATCTTCATGTTTTCTAAACCATAACATTCTTTGTTTGGTCCACTCTATAAAACCTGGAATTTAACGCTAATCCAGATATTTGGAATTATAGAAGCTTCCTGGATAGGAAGAGAAACGTCTTCAAACTTGGAAACAAAGTCCAGTGGATTGATTTGAACTTTTTAAGCTCTGTGGTTCAAACAGTTCTCACTGGAACATTGAGAAGTTTAGAAATCCTTCTGGAAGCAATGCCATCACCGAGGTTACAGAGGTGTAGAGAAAGCTCTTTGCTTTCCCCATCATGAGATGTTTCCTGTGTGATTCCAGAGGCACCTTTTTCTAGGCCATCCTTTGGGACTGAAGCAGCTGATATTCATTAGCAGGATTGCTTTCTAATCACTGAGAGATTTCAGCTGCTGTCTTTGCTTTCCAGGCCTTTTTGTTCCTTCATTTCTTCACATTGACAATACTTTTTCTCTGGGCCATTCCACTTTATTCCACAGAACTTCATTCCTGGACATTTATGGTGTGATGTCTTTTGATGGTTGGATTGCATGGATTGTTACCAACATCTGATGGAAATGTCAGTAGCTCCTCTAGAAACAGATTCACTGAGGAAAAGGGAGGAGAGTTCAATACTGATTTAATTCTCTATATGGACAGACGGACGGACAGACAGACGTACCAGATTCGCTCCCGTTAGTCAGGCGGACAGACGTCACCTTGGTTACAGCATCTGCAGACAAAGAGGAACTGATGATTCTGAAGAGAGATAAAAAGGAGGTTCTGATGGACCGAGGCGGTTCTGATGGAGGTTCTGACGAACCGAACTGAGGAGGTTCTGATATGGTTTCAATGTGTGGGACAGATGGACAGAAGTCTGTCCCACACAGACGGGGACATCTGGTCACTTTCTGGTTTGACCAGTCTGTTGTTCAGACATTCAACTGAAACCGACCGGTAGCTGCCATCTTGGATTACAGGAACTTTCCCTCTGCCTCCGTCTCCATGGCGACCAACATTTATGCCTCTTTATTTTTAACTGCAGAGAAACTCTTCTTTCTTTTTCTAAACATTTTAGGAAAAAATAAATGAACCATAATTTATTGAACAAACAACAATCTTCTGAACTTCAGGTCACTGCTGTGAACTTGTAATCTACTGACTAAGTTAAGAATCATTTTTAACCAATATTGTGATTTTCCAGAATGGAGACGTTTCCATCCAGGAAGGTCAGTCTGGAAGCTTCTGCCTGCATGAAAAATAATTCAACTTATTGATTTCTCACTCTCTGCATTTAACCCTTGAGGAGCAGTGGGCTGCCATTGTGCGACGCCCGGGGAGCAGTGTGGGGTTAAGGGTCTTGCTCAGGGACCTAGAGTGGCAGTCTGTGGGGATCGAACCGGGAACTTGGAACCTTCTCAGAGAACAAGCTGCTCTAACCACTAGGCCAACTTATCTATGTTATCTAGTCCATGTCGTATCTATGCTTCTCCTTCCTTTTTGTGGCAGAAAACTGACTTTAAACATCGAAGAGCTGCATAAAGAGGTGGAGTGAAAACAAATTAGTCCATAATTCTGAACCAGAACCTGGACTGCGGTTTAAAAATGTCTTAAATCTTGAATCCGGTTCTATCGTGGATGTAATTCATTGCCCACCCCTGATTGAAATGAGTTCAGAATATTTACACATTTCCAACAGGAAACAACCCTTTAGGTCGGAATCATTTTGGATCAGAACCGCCGGGTCGGGAGGTCAGAGGTTAAGGTCTGGGTTCAGCAGTCTGTTTCTTACTGGGACAGCTGTGCAGGTCACATGTGCGGGATTCAGTCGCCGTGCAGGCGTAGCCGCAGGACCGGGTCCGTCTCTGGGAACCAGAACCACAGGTCACACTGCACGGAGCCCAGATGCTCCACTCCTCATACTCTGAAGGAAAAACACACGGGGGGAGGGGGGGGGGGGTGAAAGCGTGAAGCTCGGGGTAATCTTTGAAGTCAGAGCTGTAAATTCCTCTCCCATCTGGTGCCAGAAAAGTGTCGGTACCGACAGCGTGAGACCTCAGAGAGACACTCCTCTGTGTTTAAACGGCCCTGGAGTGAGAGTGATGTTGGCTGAGTCAGAGCAAAAACAAAGGGAGTCGGCAGAGGGGGGCAGGGCTAAATGAGGCCTAGATCTGAAGGGAGATTCCTCTGTTGGTTCTATGGCATCTTGGAGGTAAATGCTTAAAATCCTCCTTCTCACATATAAAGCCTTAAATGGCCAAGCTCGATCTTATATCGGAGGTCTGATTGTTCCTTATGTTCCTAACAGAGCACTTCGCTCTCAATCTGCAGGTTTACTAGTGGTTCCTAGAATTTCTAAA